AAGCGACAGAATTATCTCGAATATTCAGAACATTGTGATATCACTGTTGAAAATGTCAGCCCTCATTGCACCTCACTCACCTCAATGAATTTGTTCTGATTCACCAATATATCATTTACAGGAACATTTCTCAAATAGTGCAACGCTTCTTTCTCATTATCTACATTTTCCCCCATAAATTTGACGAACTCTAGTGCACTATGTTTTGTTTGGGCCCATGGATTCAAAGCACTACCACTTTGTAGGATTACTTTGTGGAAGAGACCTATAAAAGAATGAATTAAGGTCGAAGAGAATTTCATTTAAGCCGAAGACACAGCATAAGGATTCCGATTCAGCAATTATGAATGAAATTCCAGTCTTATTTGTACCTACAAGATAATTTCCGTTATATTACATTGCATAGCACAAATTACATTGAAGGTAGGTATTCCATCGTGATTTCATCGATGCAATAGTGAGAATGCCAATTCATGAGTCACTTCTTCCATGTGAACATTAATAATTAGCTCATTTTAGTATTTTTCTATTTGAAATACATACATTCGACCATATTATTACTTTTTGCAGAATATATTCGTTTATTTTTATATAATATATGAAAGGATGAATCTTTCTGAAAAATAAATGAAATCGAAGATACTAGTCCGATTATGACATGGTTTACTCCATGTTGTGAATCGTGGGGAAACTTATCAGGAATTAAACGTGTGAAAAAGTCCATATTGCTGAAAGTGAAGTGGTAGTGTTTGAAGGAAGAATAAATATCAGAAACATCCACACGACAAATGTCGTTCCTTACACTTTTTTCGAATCTCTAACCGATTTCGAGCTCCGGAAAGTGGAAATTTCTGAATGAAAGATTATTATCCGAAATGTTTCATCAAACATTCCTTCATGTTGAATTGAATTTTCTTCAAGAAAATACGTAGGTACTGGTTTATCTCCAAAAGAACCCCACGGTACTTATCGCCGACAAATAAAAAATAATGAGATGCCTAGGAAAAAGGACGCGATGAGGCATTTTACAGTGTGATCCCTCGAAGTGTGACAATAATCCACAAATTCGTTTCTTTTCAAATGGAGAACCCTTCATTCTATATTTTTCTCAAATCTGTAGATGTCGGTCTCGCTGTTCTTCAGATTGCTAAAACGGACAATGGAAAACCAATGCAATGACATTGTCCAACCAAGAGGTGCAGCAACATGGATTTGAACATATCCCATTTCCTATTTAGCAAGGTAGATTTCTCAAAATTGTACTCGAAATCTGGAATCATTAAAAGAGCTGCAATGATCTTCCGCCCTCTCTTCTTTTCTCACAGCGAGGTTTAAAAGGCGGGAAAGATGTGCTCCCTCAATTGATATTGGGGCGCTAGCAAGACAGTCCTTCCTCGAGCAGTCAGGTTAGTGGCAAAGAGCCTGACATCATCAACTTCCACCCACCAACTGAAAGCGCAGCTACCACCAAGTTCAAGAGTGACTCGAGAATTACCTCAAGAGGAAACATGTAGGAAACATCCTGGCGCAAATTACAAAGGAGTTTCAACAGCACATGAGGTCCTACTGATAATGATATTTTGTCATTGCACTGAGGATTGTGAGATGGCAAATGTGAATACCAGAAAGCAATGCTGAACTAATCTGCGGCGCACTCCTACTGCCAAGGGAAATGTCCTAACAGCCTGCCTGTTGATAAGGACGACGACGACGATGAAGATGACATAGAGTCCAGTCAGCATGAACTATCCAACACTGAGTATGAGGATGCCATGAACGAAGAATCTCTAACAGGACCCGGCCTCACGGCCAGAGAGGATGAAGACGTGAATCTAGAGAAAGTGAAGTCAAGTTATTCAGAGTGAGAACAATGGGGATAAGATTACTCAGCACAATTTTCTATTTCTCAAGTCGAATTATTCTCGTCTGATGAATGAAATAGCCTGTTCTCGAGTATGACAACACATTGGTATATACGAAGTTGTACCAAAAAGTACTTTTGGCACAGGAATATCAAGAACGGCTTCTTCTGAAAATGAAGAAATTTCACGGAAATCCTTGAAATTGGTGTAACTGTTGACCAGTTGAAGACAAATCCACATATGTTATATATCCTATAGTCTCGAAGAATAATGAATTCTCAATAACATTTCCGAAGAATATTGTTAGTTCAGACGATATGACAGGGTGTTTGATGAAACATGTGAGATAATAATCTTTTATTCGAATATTTCCACATTTCGGAGCGTGCAGCTCGAAAGCGGTTGGAGATTCGAAAAAAGTGTAGGAGAAGAATGTGGTGAAGACTTTTATCAGCTCTCATTTGATATCAAGACATGCTTCTACAAACCGTTCTCGAAATATCTGCGTTGAACCCAAGAGCAGCTCAACCCCTAGACGGCAGGACTTTCAGTGTTTAGAGGGTAAATGGTCTGGAGGAATCACCTAGGTCCCTGCTCACGCACTTCAGAATTCCTCTTTAGTGAGTAGACTAAATAAGATCATGAACATTTTCCTCTCAACGTTCAATATGTTACATCTACAAGACACACACACAGAAACTTCCCTATTATAGAAAAAAAAATGAATCTTTTTCGGGGAATAGTCTACAGGAAAAAAATTAATCTTTTTGGGGGGAATAGTCTGATAACTAGATATGTTTCGACGAAACGTTTTCGAGATATTTTTGCTAGAATACCTAATCGACCCGCCTGATACTTTTTTCGAATCGATTCAATTTTTTTTCCGATTGCAATCGCTATTTTTCAGACTGATTCGTGGCATCCAGTATTTCTCTCAACCACATTAGATACCAAATATCAATTCAATGTACAACCGACGAACAATATTCACACACACAAATTGAAGTATTAGGCGGTGGAAATCAAAATCTCTATCTTTTCCTTCCAAGATGAACATGTAGGTTAAAATTCAATATTATACTAAAACGAAAAAGTCCCTTCCACAGCAATGTGAAGAAGGTCATGAGATGCATTCAAGAGCTATCTTATCATCAATAATGAGTATGTATGTTGAAAAAATAGTAATAAAATTAGTACTTGATGCAATCGCTAGCGTAGCCTGGTGGTTGAAGCGTTAGTATTCGATCCACGTTGGATTGCCGGTAGGTGGGTTCGATTCCCACCACGACCACACACATTTTTCTGATGGCCTAGAGGTTTGGGATCCCACGTCAAAAGGTAAGACCCTCGTCATTCCTCGCCCGCATAAGTCACTTGAAGACTTCTGAGGGTTGCTAGTAAGGGGGCGACCGAACGGTGGATAAGAACTATTGGAGAACAACAATTATTACAGTAATTGAAATTCATTCAAAATTACCAATATTGAAGGAATAACACTTTATCAGTATCGCTTCCATGAATAAACATTCTGATTCTCTCTTGAGAGGAAAATATGATTTCTGTTTAGGAAGCTAGATTTTGTACTACAGAAGCTGTATCTTGGATTTTGATAGGAAAGGAGTGTATACCTAGTCTTATTCGTAAAGAATTTTTCCACAACAAAGAATAAACCATTACCGAGTAGAACCAGTTTGTTTCGAAATATTCAATTTGGAATGAGAGTGAGATAGGTATTCTGGTGGACCATTTCATGTATCGACGAGTCGCGTGTATAGATCAGTTCATTCAGTCAAGTTCTTCTGGGATCGGTTTTTATCAGGGAGGGAAAGGGGCTAGGGCTATTGTCCTACCGCCTGATCACACTGCCTTATTAATTTCATTATAGGTTTACATATTAATCGAATCAATAGAAAAAATATTGACCTCATTCTGTAAATCTCCTACCTTTTTATTTCAAAATATATTTTTATTCACCTTATGTAGCACTTCCATTGTCGCCTCTCATATTTTTGGGTCCTAGCCAATATTCGAAAACCTTTGAGGCAAACAAGCAATAGATAGTTGCAGGGGCGGACCGTGAATTTGTGTGGCCCTGGGCTAATACTAGTTGGGGGGCCTGCCTTATCAACCAAATGATTGCCATTTTCTCAGAAAACTGTTTCCGATTATGATCAAAACTCGACACATTTAATAAGAATTTTCCGATTATTTGGATTCAACATAACTTTCGACTGCCTCAACCGATTTCTGAATATTAATTTCATTGACTATAAAATCGGAGGATATGATTATTGTGTCTCTTCATGATCAGATTCTACGAGATGAAAGTCCAAGCTTTCCAATTTTCCGAAAATGTCAAAGAAAAGAAAATTTGCTAATACTTTCTGGGGTTAAAAACATAACGCATCATCTGCTTTCTCGAAAGGGTTTTGGAATTTTTGGAATTGTCACACTCATAATTCTCTCATTAGAGGATTATAAGAAGAATCATATAAGGAATGATGGAAAATATCGAAACACGTGGCAATAAGAGATGTTGTTTTCTTCGAAAATGATGTGATGAATGAAAATTCCAAAAAAAACAAATCAGGAAAAAGGGTGAGTTTGGACCACATTTTGTCTGAACTATATATCAGACGAACAGAAAGGGAAAAGTTATCAGATTTGAATTTAATAGAACTCGAGCAAAACACACAAAAAATTGTATTTCATGAACAGAATCCTATTGAGCATGAGCAGTGTTTCCAAGAAGGAAGCGAAGAAGATTATCGTGGAATTTCTACAGAATCCGGAACCGAATCTAATTCTCCAGAGTCAGAACATGAAGAAAGAAGATATCCTCTCAGGTGCAGAAATAGTAAAGATTTTCCAGATTTCGTCTTCAATCATACAGAATGTTCTACATCAGATATACAAGAACCTTCAACGGTAGAAGAAGCCTAGTTACAATAAAGAGATGTGGAAGAGTGCCATGCAGGAAGAATATGATCTTCTTATCGAGAATAAAGTTTGGGAGTTGGTGGACTTACCTGAAGATGGTGAAATAGTAAAAAATGAATGGGTCTTCAATCTGAAAACGAGTGCTGACGAACAAATAGGTACGATATAAAGTCATATTTGATTAGTTAGTTGAATATATTGACTGAAACCAACAAAATATACGGTTTTCAAACACGATTATTGCCAATTTTCATACTCTTTTATGTAATTTATGTATTTTTGCAGATGATTTTAAACCTTTTAAAACCATACACACTTTTAATGATTGTCAACAATTACAGGAGGACCTTACTTCAGTTATAAAGTGGTTTAAAGAAAACAAGATGGTCCTAAATGTTGAGGAGTGTGGAGTTATATCATTCACCCGCAAGATTAACTTCATCCAATACAGATATATGATAGGTAATGATGATATAATTAGAAAAACTAAGTGGGGAGACTTGGGAATAAACCTTCAGGCCAGCATGAAACTTAATGACCATTATACCGTTATTGTTAAAAAGGCCTACAAAATACTAGGATTTGTGATTAGAAACTCAAAGCATTTCAGCATAAACACAACAATTCGTCTGTATAATGCCTTGGTCAGACCAAATCTTGAATATGCATCAGTAATATGGGCCCCTGAAGCTGAAAGTAACATCACTTTGATTGAAAGGGTACAAAAAAGATTCTTGAGGTATTTATATTTCAAGAGATATAAAGTGTTTCCTTATCTTATGCCAACAAAAAATCTGATTGAAATGTTCAACTTCCAAACATTACATCAAAGACGAAATATGCATTGTGTCTTGTTGTTGCATAGTGTTGTGAATAATTATAAATATAAAACATGCTACTTAATAAACTTCTTAGAGTTTCATGTACCAAAGATTAACCTTATAATAAACAATTGTGATCTCTTTTCTTGTATTTTTTGCTTTTGGGTGTATGATAAATTGACATTCATCATACAGGGCGTGGAAAGAAATTCTGAATTGAGACTATCTATCACGAATCTGCGATTAAAAGTCTATAGAAATCACAAGTTTCCATCGTTCAATAAATTATATGCAAAATCAGTGCAATATTCTATCAAGGGACTTCAATTTAGATTTGTTGAACTGTACAGTTCTGGATATTGAAAAGTGTTTTAGGTAGATTTGTATGGACAGGTTTTAGTTATTTAAGGTTTACTGTTAGTGTTTTTGTGTTTTTTTTGTGTCAGGCTAGTGATAAGCACTCACTTACATTTAAATACTGTTTAGATGGTGTCTGTAAGTTGTATCTATAAATAAAATAAATAAATAAATAATTACCCATGTAACAATTTTTTTTCTGTGACGGGTAAAGTTTGACATTTTATCTCTCAACAGGCTATTAAGTGTCACTTTTCATAAATCACTTTTTTCTTACGGGAAAAAAGTAAGTGTTTTGTCCTGGATATAATATATACTGTTGATGACTTATTTGTGCTAGTTCCGAAAAATAAGCCAAAAATACCGTCTTCAAAAAATAACTGCAATTGCTTTTTATCTCCCCTTTCACTTCGCGGTTACGTAAATTACTAAACAACCACTGAGTTCTCAATTTTCCAAAATCGAGTCACAGAATTCGACAGATATTTGATTACTTCGACACAATGATGAAGATGCCTGGTATGCTGGTATTGCTTGTCGTGGAATGATAGCCGAGATTTCTGAAGAACATTTCCCGTGGAAGTATCTATAAAAAAGTGAAAGGTCGCCGACCTTTCTACGGTGTTCCAATGATGTCAACGTATGAGTGCGGCATCACCCACCAGACGAATGGCTCTTCTCTGGATGGAATCTGACAGCATCAGAGTAAGTATGTCTGGGTGCTGAATGAAATATGTGAGAATAGTATTCTAGAACAGAAGCTGATGTTGTCATAGATATAGTTGGCATGGTGGGAATGTTGGTATCATTCATTGTTATATCAGACATACTGAGTTCCGCTTTCGTAGAGAAAATACAGGCTTGAGTTTCCGCGACGTTGAATTCAACTAGGTTGTTGGTTCCCAGTGAGACTGTGATTTTAGCAAGATCTCCATGGACAGCAATGGCCTGAATGCGAAGTGAGTTCTTCGTTCCTGGGAAGAAATGGGGATTCTGGAAGAGAACGCAGTATGGGGGGTATTATCATCTGCAAAACTTTGGATGACCTGGAATTAAGATATCATGCATCGACTTCCAACAATATCCAGATGAAAGTTTCCTCTTGAGCCACATAAGTAATCATTTATCTCAAGATAATTGATATTCCAAGAACGTTGAAGAAGTAATCAGTTATTATTGACAATTCGAAAGTGCATGTCATCATATCGATAGAGTGTGAACATATATGTTCAATCACAGCACTGATTAGTTTTCAGTTCCATAAAAATAACGTCAATGTATCTATTAGTTTATCGATGCACAATAAGCAACAATCATCATCTTCATACATCCTACTATCCTTATTTGTATAGCTATTCGAAATGCTTTGACATGAGAAATGTCTGGGTAAAAACTTGAAACAGAAAAGCAAAAATCATTCCAGAGTTAGGGAAACAAATGAATAACTCAGTTCGAAATAGAGGTCACTAGCTTGGTGAACAATTTGTCAATTAGGGCGTATTTTGCATTTTCTTGTCACAGAACAGAACAATATTTCACTTCTCGCCAACTAACTGGGTTTAAATTCAGAACAACAATAAAATAACTATTCACGCATGTGCAGTGAGTATATCTTCAAAATCAGTAATTTGGTATTATATATTCTTTCATTCAAATGAATTCTTGAGATCTATAGTTACATTATTCAACTCCTGAGCAATGAACTCAATGTGAACACCTGGAAGGGATCCTCTGTGAACGACGAGTGAGACAAAAATATTGTTCAGACAACCCGCAGTGCTTACGGATAACTATCTCTTTCTATCTTATAGTGGCTAACGAGAAGCGCTCGCATTATTTGAAATATTTTCTCGTTTTCTGCTTTTATGCAAGAGTAAACGTGATAGAATGAATATTCATACAGAAATGATGATAAAGTTGCAACCAATCATCATTAAAAAATTATAATTGATTTTTTTATTGACTTTAAAGTGAAATTTCATTTTTGTTCCTACAGGATTAAGAAGTCAAATGAATACGAAATCGGAATCAAATATCCTCATTCAAATGTCACAATATATTGTACAGGGTGAGCGAAGCTATCAGAAGAAAAAGGAAAACGATAGAAATAATTTGAAAAGAGGTTCTTGAATGGTATTGAGTACCTGAGGTCAATTTTAAGCCCAATTTCTGAGAGTAGGTACCTATTTTTCCGAAAACATTTCATTATCAGAAGGTGGATGGAAGGTGCAGTACAATGTTTGGACAAATTGTTTCATTAAAGATGAATATCTGTGTCGCTAAGAATGTACATGTCCATTTTTTCTTTTCTGGAGAAGCTCTAAAGGCAAACTTGAATAGACAATATGATGTAGAGCTCTTGAGTTTAAGAATTTGAACTTGTAGTTTTAACCTTCGAAATGTTCTTTATTACCTCATCAGGATTGTCATTCTCCTTTTTACTTTTTGTTTCAGTGTTTTCATTTTTCTTTGCTATATTATATATAGGCCTTCTCGATTGAAACAGTTTGTGGGTTTCATTATCAATGAAGTTGTTCCATAAGCAACACAATATAAATATCCATTATTCATCAATTCGAAATCACAAACCTTCACAACAACCATCAATCCACACCAACAAATTCAGTCCTCTCGAAGAAACAAAAGACGCCAAATTTAGCGATATTTTACATAACAAAAAACGATGAAGTTCAGTCTTCATTTTTTTTGTCTGTTTAGATGGAAACAAAGATCTCGAGTACTTCAAATTTTGAATGGAAGATAATGTATACACCAATCCGCCTTCAAACAACACGAGTGTAAAAGAGGCAAGTTACCGTAACACAAGCTATTTTTGTTGCAGCTGCCCCTGAAACACTGCGCTATCTGACAAAACGACAGTCTCCCTTCCAGTTGTTTGCATTGAGTTCAATGCTCCTGAGTCTTCAATACATACCTTTGCAAGATGGCGATAACAGCTGATAATGAACTGAGGCAGCACCTGCACTTTCTCCAAACAGAGTAACATTATCTGGATCTCCATTGAAAAACTTGATGTTTCTTTGGACCCACTTCAGCGCGAGAGTTTGATCCTTGAGCCCAGCATTACCAGTTACTTCCAAAGAAGGGTCTTCAAGGTTCAAGAAACCAAGGAGACCAAGACGATAGTTAACAAGAACGAGTACTACGTCTGCCGTCAACAAAAATTCTGGCCCAAACATTTCGGTTCTGTTTGAACCATGTAAGAATGCACCTCCGTGGATCCATACCATCACGGGTTTGAGTGAATTATTTATTGTTGGTAACTAAAAAAAATGTTTCGACATAAGTAGTAGGCTTAGTTGAGGGATAATTGTGTTTTGTTTCCGTAGATATAGGCTAATGGAATTAGAGAATCGGACATATTCCGCTATCATTCATAATTCCTAATTTTCGAGATTCTCGCTCCTTGCCTTAAATGAAAATTTCAGTATTCAAAATCCATGTTATAAAAAGAAATCAGATGATTTTTCTCAGAATGTCACTGTGCTTACAATTTCACTATTGGAACCCAAAAGAGGAAATTTAATCGAAAGTCGAACATTTTTGAAGGAAAACGATACAGATATGTTGACAGAGAAATTACTTATCATTAGACATTTCAGGAACGAATCTGACAACTTTTGTCATCGAGAAGTTACAAAATGCGAACATGGAATGTTTAATCGCGTCAAGAATTCATTATTCTTCATTTCCATGTCAGAAACGGTACTAGATTCATTCCCCAGAGATGAATGAAGTTTTATATTTTTCGATATAATCAATTTAATTCTCTTCCAAGCTGACTATATCGATTGAATTTCTGTTCCGAAAAGTGCAATCCCAAGCCCCGCGACCATGGAAGTATAAAAAAGAAGGACACAGCAACTCTATACTTTCAGCATATACTGTTTTGAAGTCTCAGAGATGTAGGCAAACGGGTTGAGGGGAAGGGAAACGGTAACGATAGACTGTGCTATTTCCTCAAACGGCAGCGGCGTGCGAAAATGAATTATCGTGATAGTAAATTTCGGAATCCAGAATGCAAATAGCGACTGAAAACTGAATACCAATCACTATATGACCGTTTATCAATCCGGGTCGCTATGGGTTATACCAAGTGAACATAACAAATGAAGATTTGAGTCTTCACATATTGAATAATGGATTTTATACAACTGTGGTGTGGTGAACTGGTACGCAAAATATATTATTGAAATAATGAAATTTCGGTACTATTTAAAGAATCATTGAAAGTTCTGTATCTTTTTCCATATGGTACACCAACAAACCAACTATAAAGAGTGTCCCAAAATTGCTGGGACACAGAACTACAAAGTGTAATGAGGTCAAAATGAATTTATATACACTATGTTATCTATTATTTTCACTTCTTCATCAACCACTTTTTTGACCCCCTGAAGAACAACTTTTTCTCTGATTAATTGATGATCACTCAATCCGATCAGTTTGGGAATCTATTTGATAACGATGCAGATGCAAAATACTGTCAACTATATCCTCATTCATAGCTAACAGTATATGAAGAGGATAAGGATTATTACTAGACAATATGACTGATTATCATACCATTTTTATTTTTGAAACTATAATACATTATTTACTTGCTTGCGAATAACACAGAAATAAAAAAATAAGTAATAAAGAATATAGAATCATAGGAGCTAGATAACTACAATTTCTATCACATCACAAATGTATAATAATAATGACAGACGCCTGTCAAACCGCAGCGCTAATGAGTCGTCGTCAAAAAACTTTGATATCCACAAAAAAGTGCATCCTTTTTTATTTCGATAAATATTGTTTTGATATGCCTATAACTGGATGGCAGTAGATTCTCTATCGTTTCCACAATTGTTTCTGATTCGACCGTCCTTATTATTCCCGAAGTTATCCTAATTCAAATTATACGCGTTAATAAACGTTTATAACGTTTTATTTTTCAAGATATTCCATGATTCTTGAACTCAAGAAATATTGATAATAATAATACATATAAGTTTATTCAAAAACGTTTACAAAATATATATACATTGGAACATACAGATAGGTATTTTGAATAAACTGGAAAAACCTCACGAAGTGAACCTTGTAGTGAGGATAAGAAACAAATGTACATAGTTCAATGAATATTTAACAATAATTAATTATCACAAGGGAAACATTGTCTCATTAGGAAATGAGACATCATGTATATGATTCATGTATAGTGTACTGAGCATTTATTTCAATTCGCATAATTATTTATATTTATATATACTCATTCACAATTATTATTTATGTTTCGAATTTTATTATTGAATGTTAATTTTGAGAACCTCACCGTAACATTGCCGTATATTCTTGAATTTTTAGGTATATTGGAGCAGTCTGAAATGATATGAAATAATGATGATAATATGATATCCCACCGAAATTATGAAATTTCAATTTTTCACACATGCCAGACCCTCGTAAACATTGCATAAATGGTAATTCCTATAAATTCTGAGAGCGGCGCCACTCTCTGGACATAAATTGTTGCCATACAAGGGTTTCGTATTCCCTAACTTTTTATGTTCATTTTTCATTTCGAGTGGATGAAAAAATCAGTAAATATTTGTGAAGATCTAATCTATGTTCCTGTCGTCTCACTTTTTCGAAATTTGAATCAGTTTTTTCTAAAAAAAATCGCAAAATAACGTGTTTTTTGATGATTTTCAAAATTTTTTTCTCAAGAACCGAATCAAATTTCGAAAAAGTGAGACGGCAGGAACATTTATAAGATCTTCATGAATATGTACAATTCTTTTCATCCACTCAAAATGAAAAATGACCGTGAAAAGTTAGGGACTACGAAACCCTTGCACGAGCACTTGCATTATTGCTTTAGGTATATCATAGTACAACTTCCTTTTAACAGAAAAGCATTGAAAAGGAATGTTCTCAGATAAATTATGAACGTAAAAAAATGGATATATACATATATGAAGAAATACATCCAGACTTCGCATTCTCTATTTGATGAAAATACCAATTGTTACGCCTATGAAACTCTAATTCAAACATGTAAACAAACAGTACTTACGAATGGAAGGTGAAATTTGGGTATTAAAACTTTGTTTTTTCGCAAATCCAGCAGTATAACACCATTATTAGTCTCTGTCTATCAACTTTTCACAAAAGAAATAAGAAAATTGACTCAAAAACAACGAAAATAATTAACTTCCTCAAACACATAAACATAAACGAACAACGCCGAACTCGCCGAAAGCACGAAACATCACGAAACGAGCCTGTTTTGCAGCGGCGTTGTCGGTTATGTATAATCTCGGTAACCTTCACAGAATAACTTTGAAATAATGTATAACGACAGTTTCATAATATTTGATTGTGACTATATCTATGGACATATGATTTATTCCTTGAGTTCTATGAATTGGATCATAATGAACATCTGATTGAATAGATGATTACAAGAGAGGTAAGTAAAAATACTTGAGAGGATTAGACTGAGGTTAGGAATTGTTAGCGACAGGACGTGACAACCTCCAATTCAACATCAGGTTATATGCTGTGACCGTATTCTCTGGCTTCACATTACGATGTAAATAAATGGGTCCTTCTTTGTTTATACGTCCATGCCCGCGACATTTCATCTTAGCTAGATAGATATTATACGAAATAATACTTATATTTTTATTCATTCAGACGAGTAGGGATAATCCCAAAAATCTAGAGGAATAAATAGTCCACCTCCTCGATCAACCTAGGCAGTATTTTCTGGACTGCTAATATCAAATACAAGTTCTCGATGAGCATCCTGCGTGCGTTGGTTGGTATCTTGAAAAATACTGCGAAAATCAGGGAAGTATCTAGCTTTTTCTATCAATAGGGTAGTTAAAACAAATCTTCCAAAGCATTGAATATTCTATGAATCTTTCATTCGTCTGCTCCTATATAACCGATATGGAAGTATGGGGTCATTAGTACGCCAATAAATTGACCCAAAGATGTAGAATGCACGCGTCTATAGAGACACCTGTATATACAACTTTAATCTATACATATAATAATAAAATTATTCTAAAAGAAATAGTGCATCCATATGCTACTAGAAATAAACAACAAGGAACGGTCCAAATACTCCTAGCGAATAAGACAATAGGTCAACGCCACTTTATATTTTTATGTAGTAAAATATACAATTTTTTACCAGAAACCTACAAAGTTTACCTAAAAGTTATAAATTCTATACATTTTTTTAAAAAACTCATAAAAATTTTCCTGGTAAACACGGAGAGGATCCTTATACATGAAATTATCGATTAGCTGTTGTGCGATTTATTGAAATTGCCCATTGTTGTGTAGATCTTTTTTTTTTTGTATTAATGTTATTTTATACAAAATATGTGTACAAAATTTTAAATACGTGGTGATTAGCGATAATACTTGTTACTTCTTATTATATTTCATTTATATTTTTTGTCTTAGAAATGTTGTTGTTTGTGTTGTGATAGTTAAATGTATATCATATCAATGGCACTATATGAACCATAATATGCGAGCATGATGAGCATGACTTCCATGCGCATCCACTAGGACCTAAATGGAAGTTAACCTACAAATTGAGCCTTCATTTCTGATATCTAGGATATGACTATCAGCATTAGCGGGTCAAATATATATATATATATTTTTTCACGTTGTCTACATCCAAACTGATTGTATCTCCAAGCAAATCCCAGTGGATGGACATAACCACAAACAATCACACTTAGTGATTCGTGGTGTCATAGTTTATTTTCAAATATTTGTAATAATGTTGTTTTTTTGTGTTGTAAAAGGAAGAAGGAGAATAAACAAATTTATTATTATTATTATTATATTATAATTATATAAATTAATAAGATTATTTCTTCATATTCAGTAGAGTAATAGTTTTAGTTTCCAGCATTTATCATTTGTATTCAATTTGATAGTTCTTCTTCTCTTTCATTTCAAGAAACAATTCTTCGTATCCAATGGATAATAGAAAGGCGATGGAGGTGTTCCTCGACGGATATACCTAACCTCCAGAAATTGAAGAAAAATAACAATTCCTACCTTATTTCCCTTGGTTCTCACGATGTTCTCTGAACATTACAGGATATCCCTTTTGGTGGGAACCAGAACATAAAAAAAGGTGGCGAAATTATGAAAATATTATCTATGTTAGGAAATTGATTAAGTCGAGATCAATTATAGAAAAACTGCTGTCACTGTGAAGTGTCAAAATACGATATCGAAAAGACCCATTCAGAATTATTTTCAATTTTTATGTTGAAAATTGAAGGAGATTCGTACCCGAAACGTCTAAATACAAGTGAAGTTTCATACCTTTGATGATATTTATGAGAAAATCATCTGATTTGTGCTCGCTACAAGTATATTGAACTAATACTAGTCTTACTCTTAACGCTCTCAATAATAATGTACAAGATCTATTCGAAATGATGAATACTGACCTGTCTCGTGAAAACATTCAAATTCAAACAATCTTCAGATCCTTGAATTTCGTTTTTGAGAATATTCATATGATAACAGCACGGCCCAGCTTTGGTGGCATCTAATATACCGCTCCATGGTTCAGTAGGCTGGGGGGCCTGAAAGAATTTCAAAATATTTGGAAACATATTCTCCACAAAAATAAAATCTTGATATTGGATCAGATTATTCATAATCATCTGTATAATCTGAAAAAATAGCCGAACACGTGGAAAATGAAGAGACATATCAAGTAGCCCAAAAGGAAAATCAGCAATCATCTTATTGATTTCAATTTACATGATTCGAATTCTATGAGAAAATTACTAGTTTTTTAGGAATATAGATAGTATAAATAAATTTGATGAGTGTGCCTGAAATATGCAAAAGTTTTATGATGAAGATGTGATCAGAATGCAGTTTTTTCAGAATATCGATACTCAACCTTCCTCACTGGTTCTTCAGGAAGTATTTAATCATTCAATTGTATTCGAGAAAAGTCATTGTTTTTTGCGATAGCAACATTTGTATGAATTATTCGATTCCAGAAATATTAATTGGGATTTCTGGAGAGTCCATTCATTTTAGGAAATATTTGCGATTTTTCATTTAAATTATTGAAGGTAGTAATTTGGGCCGCTGACCGTAGACAAATAATAGGGCGAAGTTCAGATAGATTCACACATACCTATTCTCTTTTGCAAGTTAGTTGTTAGGCTATGTCCCAATAGTATGAAATCGACTTTGCAGTTTCGAGAGACTTAGGATGAAAGCGTGGTGCTCAAAAAAAACTCGAAAAATCTCGATTTATCTTGGTTTTTCGCCCAAAAGTCCTATAAGACGGCTTCCTAAAGAGAGAGGCAATCAGACTATTTTAGAAGCTGGATAAATTTCCTACAATTTGAGTCTAATTTTATCTTTGTAGGTCCGAAAACTCTCAACAAATTTGATTTTCCAAAAGTAAGAAATTGTAGTTATGGTTCTCTGATGAGCAAAATATCCGCTTCAATACTCAATCTACGATGAAAGTTGAATGATTCATTTGCTTGATAGGAGAAGATTAACAATGTGGGCTCTGAGCCAACCTTCGTCATCAGTATTGGGAAAGACGTACTGGATTTAACAATCAGCTCAGAATTTTCAAGCAATAAGATATCCAACTGGAGAATATCCTCTGAACCATCATGCTTAGATAATAAACACATTCAATTCGACAATGAAACAGTAGTACAATACCGAGGTATGCAGAGTATGGACAGGAAAGGATACAAAATCTCCCTGAAGAACCATAAACGGACTCACCACTATAAATAGTCGTGATCAAATAGATATTGCTGCGGTATCATGATAACTGTCCACTGAGGGAGAAAAGGGATAACTGGAATGCTTCCTGGTAGAACAAAAATCTGAACAAATTACGAAAAGAAGTTCGACGGTTATTTAACCGAGCTAAGGTATCAGGTGAATGGGAAAACTATAGGGCTGCTTTAACCACATACAATAAAAATATCCGAAAGCAAAACGAGAATCATGGGAACGATTCTGCGGAACTGTGTCCAACACATCAAGCGGAGCCCGCATCCATAAGATTCTATCCAGAGAGCCGACACAGGAGCTGGGATCGCTCAAACGTCCAGACGGCTTCCTTACGGCCTTCACGAAAGAAAAACTAGAGCTATCCGCTAATAACCCTTCACAGGTAGCCTGATTCTGAACAATCGATCTACAGTCACAAATATAGGCCGGATCAAACGACCTGGCAGAGATGACTGGATGGTCGCCAAAAAAATAATCACACCACGGGCAATGAGATGGGCGGTAAACTCATTCCACCCTCTTATCTAGAAAATTATATACAAGGGGACACAATAGGTCATTCAACGTTTAAACCCTACACCCCCAGATATAATGTAACTAGATTGTTCTTTGCGGTTAGAGTTCATCGTTATCATCTTGGGGGGAAATATTGGGTAACCCCTTTTTTTTGCTATTTCACATAATACGATCCACAAAACGGAAAGCTTCTACAGGGTGGGCCAATTGAAGACAATTAATTAAAAGTGAAGTTCCATACTCGAATAAAATGAAAGAACACTGATGTTAGTGTCAGATGGCGGTCGATTTTCAATACATATTGGATGGTGAAAATCGCATATCGATATCATTCTGATAAAAGTTACCCGCTCGGTTACCCGAGTAGAAACAGAAACGTATACACACTTTCAAACGGCCCCTCCACTATATTTCAGTTATATTATAATCGTATTACCAAATTTGGATAAGTATGATCAATATGATTAGTTTTACAGAAATGAACATCATTTTGGATAGTTCCGTGAGTTAATGAAATCATATTAGGTTTTTTTTTACAAGAAAACTCACCTTATAATATTGATCTTTACGGTTTCAAACCCCCATGTATGAATTTTCATAGGATCTCTAAGAAAGGTTTCTAGAAAAAGAGGCACTTTTAAAATAGTATTTTTGCAAACAAATCCATAACATTATTTACTTGGGAACGGTGAGTTCAGCAAAAAATTATATTTCGATTTTTCCTTTAGAATCATCATTTTCTACCTACCGGATCTATTGAACTATCCAAGATTCACAATATATTTGAATTCATTATCTCTGAATAGAATAGAATAGATAGAATAAAAAAAATGAGCCAATCCTGTTGATACAAAATGAGGTAATTTTTTGCATATGGATGTACGAAAGCATGGGGAACAACAGTATGTAGTTAGTTTTCCTGAAACAAAAATCCTATTCCTTTTCAATTCAATACAAACGCACGGCACTGTCCAAGAGGACGATCGTTTCTGAAAAACTGATCATTTAGATGGTCATTCATACCAGTCAAGATTTGGTACGAATCCGAATACGAATGATTGAGATAAAGAGGATCACAAAACTCAAAACAGGAAACCTCGAAGGAAACATTCATGATCACAAGAAGGATGGATAATTCTTGCTATGAAAAAAACATTGGTACGGAATAGTTCTTGTTTTATACTTGATGAGAAAATTACATAAGAATGCCTCGCAATGCCTCGCAATTCCTCTTAATTCCTCTTCAATTCCTCGTGATTCCATATGGGTCCACACCAGAATTCCTCAGCGAAAGACCCCTCGGTTGATCGTGAGAGAAGCATGGGTATCCTAAGAGCGCCTCTGCTACCTGTAATGTCTGCCCTTGTGCTTTGTTTATAGTGACAGCAGAGGTGAGCTTGATGGAAACATGTTCACTTTTGAATTATTCTTGGTTTGGAATCTGGAATTTTCGAATTTTGACAACAGAATCAGAATCTCCAACCACTCAAACCACCATATACCAATCTTGAAAAGAATCGGATCTGAATTATAAAACTTTTCCGCAATATTGGTTCCGCCATCTTGAATTTTCAAATTTTGACGAAACATAATCTCTGACTCAAAATCCCGCAGATATTAATTTTGAATAGAATCGAATGTCAATTATGAAACTCGTCCACTATGTTGGTTTCTTGAATATTCAAATTTGGACAAAAGAATCATGATATTCGACCCCAAAATTTTGAATAGAATCGAATCATAATATTACAAAACTCTTTCGCGATTTCGTATCTGCCATCTTGAATTTCCGAATTTTGACGAATAAATCATAATCTCCGAAAGGATTCGGACTATAATTACAAAACTCTTCCGCCATATTTGATCCGTCATCTTGAATTTCCTAATTTCAACGGGAGAATCATAATCTATGAATCCTAAAACCCTCAGATACAAATTTTGAATAGAATCGGATTTTATTTTGAAAAAATTCCGCCATATTGGATTCGCCATCTTGAATTTTCAAATTCTGACGAAGGAATCATAATATTCGACCCCCGAAAACCTCCACATACCGATTTTGAATAGAATGGGATCATAATTGAAAAATTCGCCATATTGGATCCACTACTTTGAATATACAAATTTTCGCGAATTTCAATACCCATTATTTTGTTCCCATACCTTTTCATTCCAATTCAGACTTCTTTCTCTGAATACAGACTTTCTTGTCTGAATTCCCACTTTCTTGTCTGAATTCGGACTCTTTTCTCTGAATTCAGAAAAAGGGTGTTCCAGAAGTAAACGCCAAAAAATTGCGATCCCGTATTCCTCTGCAGATGAAATAGAGGTCCCTACAGGCATATTTCTGCAGGATGACCCTATGAGCAAATGTAATTCTGGTACATCCTGACTTTCTCATTCATAAACACACCAACTATCAAAAAACTTTTTGATATAATATCAATTAAATGCCTAATTGTTGAGATAGAATGACTATTTCACATCACACCTTCATCCAAGCCACTATTCTTAACGACATATGTTTTCAAACAAAATGCGTTTCTGAAGTTTCACCTTGTATAGGAGACAGCGTCTTACTTCATTCTTCATGCTTAATGCAAATAGTGTTAGCATGCTGTTCTCACAATCGTACGCTGATGCTCTTAGATTCCATCCAGAGAAGAGCCATTCGCCTGGTGATAAGTGATGCCACACTCACTAATCATTTGACCTCATTGAAACACCGTGAAAAAAGCGGCGACCTTTCACTTTTCTATAGATACTTCCACGGGAAAATGTTCTTCAAAAATATCTGCTATATAAATCCATCACTAGCATATCACTAGCAATACCAGTCAGACGAACTCGACAGATCCAGTCAGCACTTCCTTTGATTGCCAACTTTGAAACAACAATATATCAAAACTCGTTTGTCTATACCTAGAACGGCAAAGCTTTGAAATTTTTTATCAATGGAAGTATTCCCTCAAGTACCTATTCATAACCTTCACAAGATGACAAAAACTCTATCGCTACCTCCAATTTCTTTCCTCCTTAGCTACGCTAGATCTTCTTAGAAGATTATATGAATTTTTTTTTCGTGCGGCCAAAAGATACAAATATTTAGGAATACGTACGGCGGAATAGCGCGGTGGTTGAGCTCTCGACTAGCAATTAGAACACCGAATGGTTGCTAGTCTCGATCCCCGCCAGAAAATAGTAGATTGTTTCATTAGGATCAAAAGTGACACTTTGTTTGACAAGCGAAGTTTGCAAAATTTGTTCGAATTGTATAGTTTCAATA